TACATTTTAAAGTTGTAGATTTCTTTTCCTTTTTCCTTTTTTGGGCATAAGACTTCGTGTCATGGGCCCTGGTGTACATACTATTATTCAGGCTGTTCTTTATGAATAAAGCCCTTGCCACCTCACACTTGATGTTCTTAAGTGTTTAATAACTACCTATTTTACTCTCTTTTCTGTTCTAAAAGTTCTCCTTTATTACCCTTTCTTTCTTATTTAAATTGAAAAGTTATAATTCATTAAAAGAAAAATAGAAAAATCTAGCATAGTTTTTTTTTCTTATAACAGAAGAGAAAACTGTTTGTTAGATTCTTTTTCTTCACCATATATTCACTTCAATGTCTCATAGATGGTAATTATTTTTTCAGTTTTTTTGATAAGAAAAAAATGAAAACTCTTTATTATAACCGTCTTTATTTCGCTAAAAGGCACGTTCTTTTTCTCAAGCGATGCCGATGAAGCGAAACAGAAAATAAAAGCGGAGTAAATATACGGAATTAAATTTGTTCTTTCTTTTTAGATGAAAATTGTTCAAATGAGTGAGCTTTAAATTTCAGTATTCAGTATTTCAATATACTTCAATAAGCAAACACAGTGCCATAAACATATCGATGTTATTCTTTTAGACTAATCAACTATAACTAAAATTGAAAGAGATGACTTTTTCTGGTTTACTCTGAGTTCATCCCAAATTGCTCACTCTCATATCTGCCCACCCCTTTGATGTTGTTTGATCTTACAAAGCCAATTTGGGACGAACTAAGAGGACACCCTTTTTCTAGACACTTACGACAGAATTTAACAAAAGTTTAAAAGATTGCGTTACAATATATATTTGAACATTAAATAATGCTTACAACAAAATAATAATATTCATTTATTATCGCAGACGATGCATTAGCATTTAATATTTTTAAACTTTAAGAAATAAACTTTCATGTGAACTGGTGTTTTATCGACATGTGCAAATTTTTCCTCTTTTCTTATGTCGTTTTTTGAGTTATGTTCTACCATACCGTATAAATAACGCTGAATAAAGAGATATTTTAACTACATAGTAAACACTTCATTTTTCCAATAATTGTATTTTTATTGAAATATATACCACTACCTTTATATGGAAAAATGGATAACTATGAAACAGATAAAATCTTCTCTTACGTATTTATCTAGTTTGAGAAAAATTTACATTTTAAATTAGCGTATGTTGGCAACGTTTGCATACATCTACATGTTGTACTTGTCGCAATACTACACGCCAGTAAACGAACCTTGTATGTCAATATGAAAGTGAGCATCAACAAAAACCACTGTACGATATTATATGATTTATTTAAATTGCTGGTAGGTGAAAGGTCATGAAATATTATATACCTTATAAGCATTATACATATAAAACGATAAACTCGTTAAGATTAGGTTTCATAGCAATAAATTTATGCAAATAAAAACATGAAATATGGAAAGAATAGCAGAAAAGAAATGAACAACATAACAAAACAGGAGATTGAAAATGCCAAAAATTGTATTGAGAAACTACAATCTCATTGTGTTGAGCTGAATGAGAGAGACGATAAATTTATTTGATAAGCACTCAATGAAAACAACATTTATTTGTACAAAAGAAACAGTTTCACAAAGACGTTTCGCGAAACATCTTAGCTTAACTTGAGTTATTTGTTTCTACATATCTAGCTTTCGCAACGGATCGGTCGATCAAAAAACAAAAAAGTACCATCTCACTAACTCGGCGAAGTTTATTCTTAAGAGTCATTAATTGCGCACGTAGTTACAGTTTGTTTAGTCATTCTTTGATATGCACGACATCTATCGGCTCAAACTGTTGGCGTAGTTATTGACCATTAATTTTTTCGAAGTCAAAAATTCTGCAGCCGCCATCCATCCTCTTGTTACATTATGATGTGGTGGCGTGTTTGCCTCAAAACAAAAACAGTTGCTAATTGACTAGCAGACAGGAGCGTGGAAAATAGGTGAGGGTGACCAGCTAATTTCCATCTTGTATTATGAGATGTCAAACTCGAAACATCTGAATAAATTTTTTGGTGATCTCCGCTCAGTTTTGCAGATCGAGCCACGCGGCTAATGTCATACCATCGCACCGGTAATATGGTAGTATAAAAAGGCGAATATTATGCTGATTTTGGTCGTTTTGTGAGAATCAGATACTTTTGTGACAAAATTCAGCGAACTGTTTTGTAAATGATAAATTTTTTAGTATAAAGTAAATTTTAATAAAATCTAAACTTCAATAATACTTTACTACTTATACTTCACTAAAAAACTTCATAATAATTTTGTGACTTACTGAATTAGTCTAGACTTCATTTCTTCTACATTAGACATGACCTAATATTATAATCAGATAGTATTTGTAATAGCAATTGTGGAAAAGATCACATATTTCTTGGTTCATCAATATTACCTTATCTTTTAACAACATCGTCACTATTTAGGAGCAGTGAATATAATTAATCAGTCAGAATAATTAATTTTGCACAAATTCAGATAATAATGATGATCTACCGTTTTGTTTTTTATTTTTTGCCATTATTATAATTAGTTATTAATTAGTTGTTTACTTTTAGTATATACAGTTTTTGTATATTGAACATATGTCAAAATTCCTCAACAATCGTTTAAGTCTCTGGCTATTACCACAAAAGAAATCTGAAGTTTGTTGTTAATGCAAAAATTTCTATACTTTATTTTAAAATTTTCTCATTTAGGTAGATATTTTATTTAAACGATTGATTGAAGTTTACTCTAAACGAAATGCCCTAGATCCATTCGATGCACATGTGACGCTGTTTTCAGTTAAAAATAGAGCTGAAGATGAAGTTATTGAATGCGTTCAAAACCTGGTAATAGCTTCAAATAGTGAATTGTTCTTAACATTAACGTTACTAGCTACAGAACTGACTAATGCTACGAAGTGAGTTTATCAGATTTTGTCATTTTTTTTTATATACCTTCGTTACTTTGTATGAGAATGATGTTTTTGATATTTATTTTAGATGTGTATTTGCATTGATACATTTAAATGATCAACTTCGATTTCTTCGTCAATTGACATATGATTTAGTGGTGAAAGATAATACCCAGCAACAACCATTCCCCTACTTACCGCATTCGTCAATTATTTATGATATTAATCAACGTTTATCACCGTTACAACGAGAAGAAATCGTTGAGTTAATCGGTCGAACTTCACTGAATGGTCGTTCATTTCTAGTAGATCGTCTACAATTAGTGGATACAACTGATAACGATCATAAGAAATGGAAAGTAATAAGAACGTGGCAATTAAATGATTTGAATTTGATTAGTCTTCGATCTAATATTCATATCCATGCTTGTGATGAAGCAAAACAAAAATTACTGAATTCACAAGAAAAATACAACACGAGCATACAAGATGATAGTCATGACGATTATATTCGTTTATGTAATGCACTGGCAATGAAAACTCCCGCAGCTGCACCATGTGCATGTTTATTGGTTATTGAAAAACAAATTGTGTTAACAGCAGTTAATACACATGTTTTATCCAACGATATTACAAAGCATTCTGAGTTAAATCTGATAAGTCAAGCATCGACTTTATTATCAACAGAAGAATTGAAAAAATGTATTCTCTATACAAATGTACAACCGTGTATCATGTGTCATGGAGCTATTTTATTAAGCAATATTCCTTATGTTGTTTATTCATTGTCGAATGAGAAGTTAGGCAAAATTGCTAATGGAAAATCCATTTTTAATACTGACATATTAATGTATGAAACAAAGAATGAATATCAATTGCTTGGACCCATTTTAGAAGATGAAACAGCTGAAATCCATCAAAATTATTTCAATACACTATTTCGAATTCAAGCAGATTAAATTAGTTTTGTATGTAACCCTAATTGTTACATAAGTTTTATTTTAAGAGATCCATTTTTAAGAAAAAGTTCTTTTTCGTAATTATCGAATTTGAGGGCAAGTAGTTACTACTTACATATAAAAAAAACCACAGTTATTTATAAAATTTTACCTTTTGTTTTCGTTATCGAATTTTTTTTATTTTGCTAGTTGATCAACTGTTCTTCCCTTTTTAGGGTAATAGTAAAACATGAAGACATCCACAGACGCTTGCAGACATCCACAGATAACCACTGACAGCTACGTAGACGGCATAGGGACATCCATAGACATCCATTTTTACGGATTTGGAAGCGACACAGAAGTGGATGTCTGTGTAGTTATTTTTGGTTGTCTGTGGGTGTCTCTATGCTGTCTGTGGGGCTATCAGTGTCTATCTGTGGATGTCTTCATGTTTTCCTATTATCCTCTTCTTTTACATGGTTTATTTTACGCATGAATATTTAGTCGCGTTATTCGAACGTGTTTGTAGAGATGTAGCATTCTGACATGTAACAGGTTGTTTTTATGATGGGGGTGATTCTATTATCGATTAACGATGTTGTAAATATACTGAACTTTGTTTTGTTACTCATTGTCATGTTCTGTGATAACATGAACACGAATAGTCATTTTTTTTTTAAACGAAGCAATCATGGTAAAGCAAACTTTCATAGGATATTCAGTAACATAATGCAAAATAATTTATATTGCGAATTAGTATCTGTTTTGAATCTTAGATTTTTATTCTTGTACAATAGAAGCGACTATGAATCAATCCATTATAGTAGTTTAAAACTTATTTTTGTGAATCAATATTTTTCTAAGAACATTTCTTACCATTCAGTGGGTTTGTTTCTTTTATGTTCGTTAATGTTAGTTTCGAACACCAGACATCCTGAAAAGTTTTCATAGGTACAAATTTAATGTATCAGACCTCACACAGATGTGTTAAAGGATCTGAATTCGACTGACGCTTCTGTTGTTGCTTTATATGAGAACAAAGAAATATTATAATTCATTTTTCACTGTATTTATGAAAGACGATATTTCTGTCTATTTTAGATTAAATTAATAATGTACAAATTCATTCTATCTGATGATATTGTTACCGTCATTCGCCTGTCATCTTTAGTATTATTTGCTGTGTGTAGTTTTAAAATTAACCTCTACTCAGTGCTTAGTGGACTATTTGTTATTGGTAAGCAGTTCTAAATTTATTTATTTATTGACAATAATTCTTTTAGAAATGGTTAACACTAAATTTGTTACTATTGTTCTACCTATCGGTGGTTATTGTTTTTCTTCAGATAAATTTAAGACATGACTCAACAATATGTTTTAGTTGTTGATAAACAACTTTTATATGATACTCCTCTTGAGTTCATACGTTTTCATCATCCACGATCAAATTTAATACAATCATTTGCCATTGATAAAAAAAATAAAATAATATTTGAATTAATCAAATATGAACAAAAATATTCAAGTTGGTTTGTTAATGATAAAATGGTGATTAATAATGGCACACTCTATATGACAACACCAGTGAATATCCTCTTTCTTATGTTACCTGCATTATGGAATACTCGTATACAGTATATGTCTATTGTTAATATTTTAAAAATGAATGATGAAAACTTCGGTGATTTTTATCTAAATTTTTTTACAATTGATTTCATTAGTGAAAAAATATCAATAATCTGTGATATGAATGAGAAACAAGAATTTCAATTAAATGAACAAAAATTAATGAAATGGCTTGAAGAACGTCATCAACGTTTGATGACAAAGGGAGATTTAAATAATGCACAAGCATTCGATATTATTTGTGAATATTTAAATGATGATTGTGTCGAACAATTACAACAATATTTAAAATTAAAAGAAAATAGTTTTGTACACTATGAGATACCTACTGGACAAAAGAATCAACCAAAAGCTACAGAATTAAAAAAAGCCACGACAATTGACATATGTACCACAAGAAATATAACAACAGTAGGAAAAATAAAAGAAAAAGCTCTTAGCACCTCGGCAAAAACAACATCTGGAAAGAAAATGAAGAAATAACTAAAATTTGTGTATATGTGTGTGTATATATATGAGACATGATAAATAGAGAATAAATAAATATTTTTTATAGATTTGATAATAAAAAAAAGTTAGAATTGATGAGATTACAATTTGTTTTATCTCTTGGCAAGAACATGAGGTGTTGCTATTTTCATAAGAACTAAGTAATAATCGATAATAAATAGTCTAAACTTAGTTCTGGAATTACAAGTATTCTTCTGTGAACTATTCTCATTTATATTTCTCTACTCTCATATACAGATATTTTTATCACTCTTCATCGTTTTACCTTTGATAAATTTAATTGCCTTTATCATATTTCGATCAAGTCAAGTTTACTTTTTTTTTTGTTTCAGCAACGTTATACATATTACAAAAATCATCTAATACAAAGCGCAAAACTGATTTTGAACTGAAAGGAAAATCGTTGGTGGATGTTTCACAGACTGTTGTCGAGTATGACAAAATCGAGACTTATAAATAAATAAAAATAAAAGAATTGTATTTTGTTGTAGACGTATAAAACAGAATCTTTTTGATTATCACTTAAATTGTTTCAAATCATCGCATTTACATGAATTTCAACAGATAAAACAAAAATCAGATTGCATTTTTGCAAAACGTTCACATATTTGTGCTGCTCCAACATGGGCCCAAAATGAATCAATCGAACAATACTGTGAACGGTTTGTGTACCTTGTTACAATGTATCTTTTTCTTTTTATTCTTACGTTTAGACTTTTACCAACTTTTATGATTTTTTGTGCGTTTGTTCGCGAAGTATCATTTGATGGTTATGTTGTTGAGATACCACACAATGAACTAACTAGAACTATCGAAGTAAAAATGAACTACAATGTTTAAATTACATCAGGATCGTTGCATTTTTGTCTTAGGATTTTGCACAAGTATTTAAAAAGATTTTAAAATGTTTGTCTGACAATGATCCAGCTAAACGATATTGTATGAATTCGACAAAAATCGATAGTCGAGGATGGGTATTTGAATTTGATCGAATAACATTTTTTATTACAACATTCTCGCCACATTATCCAAATAATCATCCACGTTATGCTCATGAATCTAAAAATTATTGTCATATATTATTTCAACCAGAATTATCGTTTTTAAGACATAATTTATCTGATGATACACCGTTGACTAATTGGGAAAATCCTACTACGGATAGAGACAAAATTCGTGTATCATTTCAAAATCATGAACGTTCATATCCAATTCGAGATACCATTCACTATCCAGCGGCACATGATATGATTCGACCGCTGAGCAATGACGTTGAAAATATCGTTCAATGGTGGTTATGAATTGAGTAATCGTTTCTATACTATAGCCATATTTACATTTTTTTTCTACCAGTTTTGTAAAAAAAAATACTTATAAAAACTAACTTATTTAGAATATCATGGGACTTAGAGCGTTTAGTATAAACGAATATTTGAACGTTGATAATAATAGATACCAAAACAATTCGTCCATCCTATGTTCTAATTTGATTTTATGATTATTTCACACAGTTATAGATCATTGAAGTTAAAATCATGACACGGGCCCTCTCTATGAAGGCTTGAATAACCCACGCTTGTCATTTTGTATTCTCTGAAAATATTCGATTTTCTGCATAAAAATCAAACTCATCTGGTCAGATCGATCGGATTTCTCAGTCAGAATTTCTCAAAATCTGACAATGCATCCTCTGAAGTTTTCGTTCAAGTCAACTAGCCTCTGAGGTGACATACAATGGAAGTCCGTGACCCTTGATATTGTATTGGCAACATATTTCAATCACGTTTGGTTCTATTGACAAACATTCAAATTTGAATTTTTTAGCAATCAGAAACATCCAATCATCTACGAATGTTTTGGTTTTCTCTACACAAAGTACAGGTCTAATGTTTGAAACTTTAAACCTTAAACTCAAAGATAAAGTTAAAGTAGTGTGGTAGAAATCCTTTTCATGCACATTTTTTTCTAAAAAATAATATATTCCTTGAGCTCATACGATCTTTTATTGAGAATGTGTGACGATTTCGATGGGTTATTTCTTTTTTCTTTACTGAGAAAAGCACATAAACATTAATGATCTCTGATAAACTCGTTCTGGAATAAATGATCGCACCGTGCAGATATTATTCTATAGAAAAAATATGATCTTTCAGAGTATGTGTTTAAAAAATTTCAAATAAGAAATGACTGAGTATGTGCATTTTAAAAAGATTTTCTGAATACAAGTTCCAGAATCTTTTTCAAAAAACTATATACGTCAGTAACTTCCAAACAAGTCCGTTTTACTCTGATTTTTCCTGTTTTTCTAAAAAAGTAAAAGTAATTTTGAGTTAAGAACCTTGTGTGTAACTGTATGCCCAGCACAATAATGAGCGTTTAATTTCACTGTGTTATATCTGTGTGGAATAATCATCAAATAAAATAAATTGAGAACATAGGATGGACGAATATTTTTTATATTCACTTATGTTCGACCTTACAGCAGATAATATCAGTCGATTCAATATGATATGAGGTATACGATAAAATAGAAAACAACATGTATCTTTCTAGAACAACGGAAATTTTCGATAAAAAGCCGATTTTTCCAAATCATAATTATTAATAAAAATGAATTTAGTAAGAATTTTAAATAACACTTTTTGATCTTACTACATTCATTATCTGCTGCTTGTATGAGTATATATGTGATAAATGTTGACACATTTGATGAAGTAACTGAACAGACACTTTTCAATATAACTTATTCATCGAACTCTCTTCTCTTCATTTATAATGATATTTATGCTTTATAAATAACAGTTTCCAATATCACCTATTGGATATAGTACTTAGGACGTATAAAATTCTATTAATTATTAAATCGTAGTCATATTTTAATAGTTAAACCATAATTGAAGAAACCAAAAAAATATATATACAGATCGAAATGCATCATTCGTGAACAACTCTGATTTTCATTGAATCATTGTTTATAAACAATGTTGTCAATACTGTGATAACGCATTACTTAGAAATGAATACATTCAATGAATATGATAATTCGCCGTAAGAGAACAGACAATAGATTTTACAGAAACATACATTCAGAACAACGGCTATTTACGCTACTAAAAATAGAATAGTGCAGTTTTTAATTTAAAGTTGATTATATTCTGCTAAGGCGAATTCGGTTAAAAATTTGTCACAAATGACTTTAATCTGCAGTTTCTGTTACAATTTCTTTTGCTAAGATATTCTTGAAATGCCAACAGCAGACTCTTGAAGACATTATTTACTTTTGATAAAGTCTGTGTATCATTCACATTAAACTTGTTTATGAGATTTTCTTTATCAGCCTCTTCTGTTTTCATTATACACAGAAGCAAAAACGCAAGAAAAAGCTCACCAGGAAAAAGCATTGCGTGCACACACACACACACACATCTACACACAAACAAGTGTAAAAGTTAAAATAACGAACACATTTTTGGTTTAGAGTCATGAGTCAGCTATTTCTAAAAACCCGACCAAAATGTTGTTCCAAACATTTTTGCGAAAATAAACTGAGAAGAGTATCGAGAGTAAAAGAACAGAAAAGCTTGGTTATAAAAAAAAAAAAAGTTCAAAAAAAATAATGTGACTAAAGAGGTCATTCTAGATATAGATTCACCTAAACAAAGACACTTAGACACAATAACAACACACAATTTGAAGCAATGTATTTAATGAGCTATATCAGATTCATCTGCACCCAAACAGTGTAATACCCAACCAACGGGCGTTCCTTGTAATCCCAATGATTCGACTTTATTAGCAATTTTATTCTGAAATGTAGCTCCACGCATTGCAGCATGGGCAATAATGCCTAAAACAAAAATAGATATAAAACATCTAACACTTCTTTATTGTTGCCTTATAAATCTCATTTGACAAAATTAGATGCTATTAAAAATCTTTAACTCATGCATTTTTTCATTTCTAACAAGTCTGACATCTATATTGATCACTTAACTTCATACATAAATAAATATGACTCACCTGCAATTGGAAGAACAATTCCAAACAGAAATGCAAATATTGTACCAAAAAATTTGATTATAAAAAATGACAATACCAAAATACCAGCCAACATTACCAATGGTCGATTTCTTTTTATTGCATTTAACGCTCCTCCATGTTTACTTAGATAAACAAATGCGCCCAATACAACTAATGTCACGAATAAACCAAAAACAATAGCAGCAGGTTTGTATAATCTAAAAAAAGAAATAAATAGATAAAATCAATAAAATTTCAACTAACAGTACTTACGCAACGAGAATAAATACGGAAACAAGAAATGCCAAATAATTGGTTTGATAATAAACTAAATTTTGTAGAACTTGTTTTTGAAGCACATTTAAATGTTGAAGATCTGACGGAATAGTCCAGTTATTACCACCAACAAATTCTTTCATTGAACGTAATGGTGCCAAACGAATCGATTGTGACGTTGGATTTCGAACTGCATCTTTAGCAAGATTACGAATATCTTTCATAATTTTTATTTACGTTTTTCACTAAACAAGAATATAGATGCTTAAAATCTAGAAAAAAAAAAAAACAATTATTGAATTTTGGATTAGCTAAAAAGTAAAACAACTGCTGATTATTGATTTGAATTTAAATCGCAACAAACTAGAGTAAAAGATGTGCAATAATAGATCGAATAAAAGGATCTTTTAATGAGAAAAAAAAGAGTAATATCACCGAGAAAAAAATACTTTATCTACTACGGAATAAAATACAATCACAAACTGGAAATACATAGTTAAATACAGTTAAAAAATAATTTGATTATAAAATACTGTTTTCCAATCTGACTTGTTATTGTATTAATGATGCATCACGAAGACCAAGAGCACAAAGAAAGATGCCCACTAAAATAGACCAGAACAGTATGATATTATTAATGAATCTAACAAAAGAAGACTGGGTGATAGAAGTGGTCTATCAGTTATTTAGATTCAAATATAATCAAATGATCGTTCAACAAACGTACTTGGGGTATTTTTTAAACCAAATAATTCCACTTTATTTGCTATTTTATTTACTATATTACGTTTTCTAAATGCAGCATGAAGTAAGATTGCTAAAAACAATAACAATAAGAAAAACAGTATGTCGAATGAAATGTTAAACTCAACATACCCTGAATCGGCAATACAATTCCAGCAATAAAAACCAGTATTTTTCCTAGCATACTAAGTATCAAATAGGAAACGCCTAATAAAGCGACGAGAATAATAATAGGTCGATCACGTTTTAATGTTTGCAAAAAGCTTTCGATCGAAGCTGTCGGTGATTGTAATTTTGTTGACGGTGATACGTAAACAAATGCCATGAGTACGGCGGAAACAACCACCAAACCAAACAGAAAATCAACGGGATAATTGATACTAAAAAAAAAAATGGAGTGAAAGATGTACAATTAGAGTTAATCATATGTCGCTTGTTCAAAATCTTTTTATTTTACCCAATAAGAAGAAATAATATTATACCAAATACAAAATAATTTGTTTGATAGTAAATCAAATTACTACAATAAGAAACAAGAAACATATAATAAATTGTAATTTAAATAACAGGATAGAAGAGGAAAACCTTAATATTCGATGATTGAGACGTCCTAACTCACTGAAATTTGGCATACTCCAATAATTATCAATTAAAAAATCGTTCATATTACGAAAAGGTGAAAAACGCAATTCTTGTGGGCCTGTCTGAGCCGCTAAATCTTGAAATTCACGTCTTATCGCCGATGGATTCATGATATGATGATATAGAATATTCTTCTAATATTCTAAAATAAAAAGTAACAAAACAAAGGTATTACAGATGCGATAAACATTTATGACGGCAGTTTTACTAACAATAGTTTTACCGATTATTATCGAAGAAAAGCAAAAAGGTACTAAAGATCTTTTTCATCCGAAACTCCGACGATGCTGAAAGAATATCTCCCATTTTCGAACATAGTCTAATTTTCGTGATACATTGTTGAGAACAAAATCATCGTTGAAAATTATCCTAAACAATTGTGCAGTGTAAATATATACATATATGTATATATATATATAGATACAGCAGCAAAAAGAAAAAAACTGAGAGAACACGAAACAAACAAAGAGATTCATCAAACATTGATACAAAAAAGAAAAAAAATTTAAAAAAGGCGACACTATTGCTTCACCATACATATTACAAAACAAAATAGATTATGATTACAGATTCAGATTTTTCAATTTCAGAAATAAACTCATAAACGTTTCTCATAGCTACGTTAAGATAAACAAATAATTACTGAATAAATAAATGTTTCAGTTTGATTAAAAATTACATTAAACTATTCACAAATAAATTATTCATATGAAAAAAATTGTTCTGGATCATTAAATTTTATCGTATTATCATCCTGATCTTTGTTTTGAGTAGTTTCAGGAGTTTTTAACTCAAAGTCTAATATTTGTTGATCAACATTTGTTGTGGTTCTTGTTGGTTCTTCTTTAACAACGACACCAATTGTTTGTCTTATAGTTTGAGGATCTACAACATATTCTGGTTTTGTTTCTTTTGTCAAATCTGTCAAATGATTCAATATCTTTTGTGCTAATTCATATTCATTTTGTGGTTGTTCGGAATTAGATAAGACATGGTTTGTATTTACTGGTTGACTCAAACGATCATATTGTGCTCGACGAAGTCTAAATAATAATTTTGATGTTTCATCGAGTTTCATATCTATTCCAGCAGTATGTTCATCGTATATTGGTTGATCGACTATTTCCTGTCTAATTTCATCTGTTGCCATTGTTGAATCACTAGTATTCGATAGAAGAAGAGTACTTGACTCTAAATTTGTAAATTCTAATACAGATGGATCTAAAAGGAAGCAAAATTAATTATTGAAAAAAAAACTAATTTGAATGATTCTCTCACCTATTGAGGTTGTTTGTTCATTTACCGTTATAGTTTTATTCAGTCCATCGGACTGTATTTTAGTTTTTAACGGTTCTTTCTGTTGTTTTTGTTTTAAAGCGTAGTTTTCGTGTTCACCGTTTGTTAACACATTCAACAATCGATCAACATAGGCCATTGCTAATTCACCTGGATCTTTTACGTAATCAAGTAGTGAAACAGAATATGCTGTCGAAAATTCACTACCATACGTATGTATTAATAAATCTAGTTCATCTTTCGTTATAGAGGAAAATGATGAATCGTAGGAGGGGGCATTAGAACTAAATGGTCCATAATCAAGAAAATAACGAGGTGATAAATGATTGCGTTTTTCAGCTTCATTGATTATTGTTGTGGTTATCGATGATGAAGAAGTATAATACTGTGTGGTAATTGTACTTGTACCATCATTATTCAGTTCGCCGATAGTAATCGTTCGACAAGTTATTGATGGCTCATTATTCATTAAAGATGAAATTCTATTTGCAGCTAGAGAACTCGTGTTAGTGATAATGTTTGTGGTTGGAGATGATATTGAGCGAGCTGGAGAATTGTGATTAAACGATGATTGTTTTGTTGTATGTTGCTGTTTTTCTCGTTCGTCATCATTATCATCTTGATTAATAAAACGTAATGATGTTGCACCATTTTCACGCTGACAAGACAAACCATACTGAGATACTGGATGACGTAAACTCAATTTTTCACGTGCACATTGAGCAGCTTGTTGAGCCTAAAGTATACAGACACAAGTAGTCAAAAGACTTTCATATCAAAACAAATTTCATTTTTCTTTCATTGTCAACAGAAAAGAAGTACAAATACTAGATGTAGTATGATACCTTACACCCTTTATTTGAATTTTAAGCTTTTACATCAGTTATAATAAGTTAATATCAGAAACGTGATCATAAATCCGGTTGAGCAAAAATTTACCTGTGCAAGAATTTCTTCTGGTAACAGTTCATCTTCATCTTCATCATTCATAAGGGTTGTTAATTTTTCATAATATTTTGGTAATCGTGTGTATTTATTTTTTCTTTGTGAACATGCAGCTGAGATACTGACTGTCGACAAATGATTATTTGTTACTGGCTGTTCCATTGAATCTCCTTCTACTCCTACATTATTTGTATGTTGATCTGTATTCACTAGTTGTGGTTCCACAAGTGATTCGTTCTCTGCTATGGGCATTGTTGTCATTTGAGTGGTAGTAGTATATGCATTTTCAATTTTAAAACCGAATTCTTTTTCTGTTAAATGAGCAAAACATTCTAAACTTCTTCTAAAACTTAATAATTTATCTTTACTCATTAATTTTGTACCAAGTGCTAATAATTTTTTAGCTGCTTGGAAATAAATTGTCTCCGAACGATTATAAGCTACTGCATTTTGACACATTAATTCAAAATCTTGACGAAATTCCATGATGGTTTGATAACCTTCTTGAAGAATTTTTTTTTTTATTGCTGAAAAATCCATTGGTCGACGAATAATTTGGCTGTAACCAGGTGCTAGTTGATCGGTGACAGGAAATTGGAAAAATCCTTCTTTATCTTTTCGTGATAATGTACGATAGAGATATTCTAGACAAGCTGTCAAATGGCTATTGTCGTCTATGGGAACAATGGTTTGTTTTGTTTGTCGTCGGAGACGTTCAAGTGCAAAATCACGCGTGTTAAAATGCGATTGAACAGTGAACGAATTACTCATAGAATTATTTGCACCATGCATGGAATCTTCATCAAATTCACTACCGCCAACACCATCGATACTTGATTCAGCTTGATTCGATAAATCATCATCATTGACAAAACTCATTGCATTATCACCACTCATTCCCAAACCAGTCGTTAATTTTCGACGCTTTATGGCGCGACCAGACATTCTGAGATCTGAAATAAAATAAAAAATATTACAACTAGGCATTCCAGTCATATAAATTCATATAAGAACTTTTTCAGGTTTCGATAACGATTTTGTTTTATTTCACAAAGGCTTAATATAGAAAAATAAAAAAGCTATCGGCAGTCAAGCATCCCAGAGAAAAAAAAATCTCACATTATGAAAAAACTCTTTTTTTCCGCATTATAAAATTGAAACGTGTTTTTCTGCATTGTAAAATTTGTTTTTCTATTGGACGCTTTGTTATCAAAAGACTGTAATGGTGCGAACCCCAAAAACACATTTTTCTGAAAATTATGTAATCATATGATATGATGTCGCCTAAAATATTGTTGCTAAACGAACCGATGAAAATCTGAATTTCATTTGTTCCTGTAAGATAAAATGTCGTTTATGCTCTATATTCTACGAAAATCGTGTATTATTATGCTCCTACACACTTTCTATCCTACTTCAAACTTATTATGCGGGATAGTATACAGGATAGGATAACCCTGCCAGCTGAAGATGAGTTAGCGCCAATGATTAATCGCACATCTGGTAATCTAACCACTAAAGCCGCAAGGAATTCAAAAATTGCTTTACAAAAAAAGAAAAACGTTTACATATCGATTAATGATTAAAAAAATGAGACTATAGAAGAACACGTTGCAATTACTAGACGATCTCCGAGGAGTGCAGAAGTAAAAATTAACAACACGTGCTGTTCCTTTCTATAAGCCATTTTATTTCATGTAACTAAACCTCTGTTAAGATCAATGTGTGGTGTTGGATGAATCCGCCCATTAAGAGAGTTAGAGAAGACTGGGTATTTTTCGGAGCGCCTCAGGTTATCTAACGTCTAGCGACAACTATGATATTTCGAGGATAATCTTGATACATAGAAGTGTTAAAACTATAATAACTAGTTAGGAAAAGGTGCAATTTGTATAGTATATTTATAAAAGACGAAAAGCTTGGAAATACGACTGTTACGAAAAATAAACTGATAGCACAGCATTTCAATACTTATCAACACCTAGCAGCAGTACAAGAGTTCGAATCTAGTTCTCAGCTTTCTTTTTTTTGCCGTGTACATGCAGCGCAATAAGGTTTCCGAACGGGAAAAACTTGACTCAAGTCAAAGTGCAAACTTCGACGAGTCTCTATAATCTGAAAAAAATCGAAGCTTTTTGACTTTTCTTATATAGATTGACAACCGCAAAACAAAAAGGTGATTGTGTCAAAACGGTTTAGCGACGATTTTTTCTTGTACTGCGGTCTGAAAACTACCGTGCGGTAACCGCCGGTAGAAGAAAAAACCACCGCTAAACCGCAGGGTATACCGAACGGTTCGGTCCAACCGGTGGTATTTCGTTGAACCGGCGGTATTCTCAACAAATACGCGACATGAGAGAATTCTTTTTTTTGTGTAAGAGTATCCTTTGAGCAATTGCATCTTTTTATAAATAATTTGGAGGTGTCATTATTTATGCCGAAATTAAAAAAGGCTGCTAGCCAAGAGCTGCCCTATTGTCTTAGAGAAGGTAAGATAATAGCACTGTGTGCAAACTGAGCATGGAAACCATTGGAAATAGTTGAATCAGAACGAGAATTAGCCGTACGAAAAGAATTATTACGTCAAAGATGATTAGAACGATGAGAGCATTTCCAGATAAGAGAAAAGCAGCTTAGAAAGACGCCAGTGGCATGAACCTGAGAGCCTAGAGATTTTCGAAATGCTGAATCTATTAGTGATCGTGGTAACATTTTTTTTATCATAACTCTTCACATTCTACCCGCTGATGCTTGTATCACTTTGGCTTGATTCCAGTGGAAAATCACATCTGTAGATCCAACGTCAGTTGAACTTCGAGAACGAAATAAATGTTACCATGATAATCAACGTAGTCGATAACCTATGTTTCCATGTGGTTTCGACATTTGAAAATGTAAAGATAAAAAATTATAGTAGTCTCCAACAAATCAGCTGCAGCATCAGCAGTGATGATATGATAGAAAGTTCGGGTTTGAGTAGATTTGGAATAAAATGATTGCTTCATCTGCAACATATGCAAAACATTAATTTTTCGATTAAATTCTGTTTTTCTATCAATGGTTTTCCAAAGATTTTCCAGAAACCTAATAGAAAACCATTTAGTAATTGAATCTGACTTTGATAACCTTATAAGTTTAAACCATATGGTTTAACAAGTTCAAAGCGAATATCAAAGGAAATTTAACTTTACAGCCCAGTTTACTAAAGAAAATCTCTGAAAAACCTTAATTTTTCATTAAAGATCTTTTAGAAATCTTTCAACGCAAAAGAATTTTTCAATCAAAACTACATTTTTCGATAGAGAAAAAGGAGGGGGCGTATTTGATCAGAAAACGGTCCCTCATTTTTTTGCGTTATTTTGACTAGACTTTTGTCGAAAGGACATTTGCACACATTGCCCAGTTGTTCTTATGGAAAATAAGCTCAAAATACGTTTTAATCTCGGTTGTTTTGAGATTCCATCAGAGAACCTCGTTCTTAGAAAAAATAACATTTTTGAAAAATTCAGCATAGGTTTCCCACAAACCTTGGTATGAAAAGATAGCCAGTGAAAGACTGAATAAAATACTCTATGAACAATTCTTATACATCATTTCAATACGAAGAAATTATTTTTACAACAGACAAATTGACTTGAAACGCGATATCACGGATGTTTTAAGTACTTTTTTTCTCGTATTTAAACCGGATAGGGAATGCTTGAAAATAAACCATTTCTTCTTAGTAATATGGTATGTAACTATGGTTCATATACCATTTTATTCAGTTTTTCAGTGGGTATTTTTCTATATCAAACACAATTCGGATCATTGTTTGTATATGGAGAAAAAAGTACTTAGAACATCACTGATATCGTCTTTTTAATAATGGTTAAAGGTTCTTTATATAGAATACTGTAGAGTAAATCAAGGGCTATCGTTCTATATCAAATACCAGTTGCATCCTCGTTTGTATATGGCGAAAAAAATACTTAAAACATCCGTGATATCGCGTTTCAAGTCAATTTGTTTGTTGTAAAAATAATTTCTTCGTATTGAAATGATGTGTAAGGATTGTTCATAGAGTATTTTATTCAGTCTTTCACTGGCTATCTTTTCATACCAAGGTTTGTGGGAAACCTATGCTGAATTTTTCAAAAATGTTATTTTTTCTAAGAACGAGGTTCTCTGATGGAATCTCAAAACAACCGAGATTAAAAACGTATTTTGAGCTTATTTTCCATAAGAACAACTGGGCAATGTGTGCAAATGTCCTTCTAATCAAATACGCCCTCCTCCTTTGCGCCAATGAGCGTATTCAAAGAGAATTTCATTTATCGCTGAATTTTTAATAAAGATGCTCCCCAAAACTTGTCAACTCAAAATCAAGGTTTACCAGAATCACATTACGAAAGTCAAAATCAAACAAAACTAACATCACCAATAGATTCAGTATGTTCGAAAACCTCTAGACTCCGAGATGTAGGTAATCTGCATACGCCCGCTAGAAAGTTCATCGATTTTTCTCTTATTGGAAATTCTTTCATTAGGATCAAAATTTAGTCGTAAAGCTAGTCTGAGAGAAAAATAATTAACTTATGAATTATTATTATAGATAGAAATTAGAAGATTATCATAATAATTAATCAACGATAGAAGCGCGAAAAAAATGTTTATATACACACTGGGGATAGGGTCTGAACTAAAATACATCGATTTGCTTTTCTGATGTTCTGTATATGATATAGAGTTAAGTTCAATTGAACTTTTACTTTCACTTTGCCACGAAGATGAAAAAAGAGAGGAAGTCAAAAATATTATTAAATATATGTTTTTTTCTAATGTTATCTTAAATCAAATACTTTACGCATCTCATCTATAACAAATTCATTCTATTTTACCATACAGATGGTTAGTATGCCAACTTCTTCATTCGTGACGAGATTTTACATATTCATTAGTTTAATAGATCAAATTTTCTTTGACTCTTCAAATAAAAAAAAGTGTATGTTGTACGTTTATTTGATCTCGTTTACCGTGCACGGCATTTAAGTTATATTAGGGACGGCACAATTGTATTCATCAATATATTAATTTTTTCTGATTTATCTCTTTGTTTTTTGATAGACAAAGAAAATTAATCTTTAAGTTTTGAAAAACAGAACTTTGCATGTATTTGGTCTATTGAGAATAATGAAATAAAGATGCGAGAGAAATTTAATATGATGCAGAGATACAAGCAAAAAGCAAAAAAATTTATCTATCATATTTTCAGTGAGCAAGTATTGACAAAGAACAAAATAAATCTAATATCAACATACTGCAAAAATTAGTTTAGCCATGAAATTTTACTTCTTCTATCTTTTCTTCACCGCAATGTTGGAATTAGTTATTGACTGTGGCGAGAAAAGAAGATGTTAAACGACATAAACTTTATTGTAACTGTTTTAATGTTTTTAAAAAAAAAAACATCTCAGTTTTGTGTCAGAAAAATATTATTGTGTCTATATAAAAGGCGAGCTAGATGTTTCTATTTGATTGTTATCGAACATCAAACAGTTAATATCACTTACTGTATTTTGAATTTGATAAATTTAAAAAAAACAATGACATTGCGCTTCCTCTATTCATATTTTCTCGCACTCTATGCTCTCATTTTATAGTTTCATATATTGGTCTGATCTCTTAATTAAAAGATCAAAAATAACAAAGTGTTTGCTTATAAACAAATTTTTTCTGATGGTTTGATGCTCGTTATAGACATTCATACCTCATGTAAACAAAAAATGATGATAGTGAAATATCAATAATTATTAATCTGTCTTATACTCTAACAGAAAATCTCTGATGCGTGAACAAGTCAACATAGATAAATGATACAATACTGTCATTGAATACATAGATTGTTCCGACATAATTGTAGGAATGATTGTATACAAACAGTATATATATATATATGTAAAGGA